CTGTTTACTAAAATATTTTGTTCTGAACAGTATACTTATAATAAAAATAAAATGTTATGCACGAAGTGGAAATCGTTAGTCTCAGTAACAAGCAGAGAGTGTGCATGATAAAGAGGAAGACAAAATTTCACTGATGGATCTCATTTGAAGGTTGTTAAAGAATGACCCATATTCTCATGACGTTATAGATGGATTTGTGAAACTGGCCAATGTTTATGAAGGTTAAAAGTAAGTAAGAGACGAATCCGAATTCCCTTTTCCCATTTAAACAAAAGATTTGTCAGTCAACGTCATTTCAAATTATAAATGCAACGAGTAGTTCGGCGTGGATACCTACCATGTTACTTTCTAAAATGTCGTGTCTGCAACGTTACAAACTGTTGAACAAAATGTTTATTGTATGGTTATCGAATAGAACCTGTTGCATTTTGAACAATCAATTTTATGAGATGGCTTCGATAGTGAATCATACCATAAAGAAATAAAATAAATGTGGACACGACTGTTTTCTATTACCTAGACAAGTTATCCCTCGATTGGCAATTCTGACAGTAGAAATATCATTGATACCAACCATGGGGATGAGCATACTTTCAACCACAAACTAAAATGAATCTCTTCTCATAACTTTGAATCAGTCTTCTTAAGAAACGTCCTAGGTAACCTTTAGATACCTTTCCCTATTGCTGAAAAAATTCCCAATCACGAAATCGTATGGCCATTCTTTAATGAGCCCTGTATGTTCAGTAAACTTCAAAACGCTGAAATCTGAAAGATACAGGGACTCAGTGACATATTTATGCTTACAATTTCGGTAGTTTAACATAATTCTAAATAAATTTACTCAGGAGGTAGTATTTGTCAGAGGCTGACATCATTTGCAGGAACATTAGAAAACTGGCAGCACTGAACAGCTGATTCGTCCCAGTGTGGGACTCAGCAGCCTACCATTGAACTTTGACCCAGTGGCTGAGTGGTTAGCACGTTCGCTGTGAAACCTTAATGTCCTAAGTTCTACCACTAACGCGGTCATGAGTGACTACTACTAAAGAGTGCGGTACTAAGACGAAACAGCTGTCCAGTGCTCCCAGGTTTTCAGTGGTTCTCCATCGGATGTCAGTCCGTGATGAATACTGCCATAAAATTAAAGTCCCCAAGCACTGCGAAATGTGCTTCTATCATCATTTGAGTATCATTAATATGGGAGCTAAAATGATCATATACCTCGAACAAGTTAAAGTAAATCATTATCATTGTTGAACGTAAATATAAACTTTGAAAAATGAGAGTTGTGCATGAATGACCGCAAAACTATGCAATTTATTTTATTTTATTTTAGTTTAAAATGCTTAGCATGTTTGATGTTATGTGAAAAATTCACTTCGAAAGCGAAGATAATGAAAGGAGTAAAAGAACACATGAATGGTTCAAGAAAGTTATTAACCGTGAATTTGAGCAAGATGCTGTACACGAATAACAAACTGTCAATGATCAAAGTCTTCTATTCTCAGTTACTCTTTTGTTCTGTATAAACTGCGCTATCAAGTTGAAATGATTTGAAGACCATTAGCGAAAACAACTGGTTGGAAACAGTTATATTTAAAAGGGCTTGAAAAATTTCATACAGCAATAAGCACATATGAGTATCATTTTTTTGAGAAAATATCACTGAATAACTTGAATATATTCTGTTAATACCTTGTAAATTATATGAAGTTAAACAAATACCTGAGTTGTGGCAGAATTGGTGCATAGTGGTTTTAAGTATGGATTCTGCTGCAATCCATGTTTTTTTCATCCGAATTCCATCATCAGATTGTTTGACTGAATTACTGAACTCCAGAATTTAAAGAATCGCTAAGAGGACTTCTGCTTTACTGTCAATGTTTACATTTAGCAAGCAGTAGAAAGAAATGAAAAACTTTGCAAAAAAATCACGAAGCAGATGTGATGGGGTGTTGGGCGAAATTCTAGCGTCTTTCATATAACCATGGCGACCTTCTAAGGATAAAAGACTCATGATTACGAAACACATCAATTAACGAAAACCATTTTTATCGTTATCATTTTATTTATTTGTATGATACCTAGGATGCAAGCTTAATGGCTAAAGCATATCCCACTGAGACAGTCTACCTTCATATGAATAATGAATATAACTTCTACTACTGGTTTAAAAAACAAATATGATGATCTTAAACATACTAAAGGAATCCCAGAAAACACTGACTGTTAGCATAGTATGCTTCAGTATTACTTGAGGAAAAACCAATATTGAAATTCAATAGAGTTAAGGTTTGGCCACTGTGTACATTCTAAATGTCACACGAAATGGATCGTTGAACATCAAGATATTCCGAAATCTACCTTTCTTTTAGATCCTTAGACCAAAATCTGCCAGTTCATACGCTTAAGGGTTCACCAGGTTACGATAAATATAAAATAGAATTCCATGTCAGTGGCATTATTTCCAGTCTCTTTACTAACAAGGAGGAAACAATGTAACGATTGAAAACTGTGTCTGTTGTAATGACTACTTATCATACCTTGTTTTTATTGACGTCACAGGTGATATTCTTCATGAAAGTTACATTTCAACATAAAGTGTGCTGTTTGTTTTATTCTATGAATATCTTTCTATCGCTAACATCAGTTAGCCTTATATAAATAGTGAAATAAACTGCTTTTCTAGGTCAGAAAATACGAACTGATTGAAACAGTACAATAATATTTTACGTAGCATACACATTATCGATGTTAAAGTGGATGCCAACCATTACAGCATTTAGAATTATGTACTGAATGACATGAAATGAAATTTTGGGAATCACAAATTTTAGTGTTATTGCTTGTACTGCACCGTTGTTGACTGGACCAAATTCATCGGTCTCTATTGACCAGTCGCAAACAGGATGAAACGCGCATCCTGGATTCCAAAGCTAGCCCATATTCATCTTTACTATAATCAGGAATAATGTTCAGTTTGTCAACTAACTTTCAATGACATCAGAACAGATACATTGTCTTTCATGATTATAACTTTGTACTAAGAATCTCTCCAAATAAGTCCACAGTAATTCCTAGATCAGATATTTCTGGGGTTCTCAGGTGTACACGTTATGTGAGCAGAGAGACTGAAACGTTATCATTGCTATTTTGATATTCTTGACGTATAGAAAAGTACTAGTACAGATTGTTTTAAAAGTGACTGTCACTTTTTAAGAACAACTGTCATACTACGCTAACTGAGAGGGTCGTGTTGCGACAAAATGAGTTGCCATTCACTACCTAGGTAAGAATTTAGAACCCGATGTAGTAGGATGCCTACCGATTGGTCATACATGAGACTGGTAGATTTCTAGGTAGAAATTCTTAAAGTAGTATCAGCAGTCAGTAATTTTCTGCACAAACAAACTCTAAGGGTATGAATCACACTTCATTGTTACTAAAGTATCAATTTTGTCATTATTTTAACTTTACAGAATAAATAGTCTTTGGACAGCACAGTAATCAGACAAACGGTTTTGTCAGTTAGGAGGTATAAGAGTAAATTTAATATTTACTAAATTGGCTTAGATAAATCAAATTTAGCTTCACAAATGAATGACCAAATTCCAATCTTAACCGCCTTCAATAAGTAAACATATTTTCTTGATGATTCGCTATAATTTGAAACCTTGACTGCTAGCAAACACGGGAAAGGTGGAAATATGCAAAATGTTGTCCTCTAATTTGTAATCCCATTGCACCTAATGCTAAATAATGAATAAGATAATCTCATGACCTATTTTTCCTTAAGGAAAATTGTCTGACCTGGTCATCGAGTATAAGTCGAAGTAACCGGTTGCGATGTTAATCGGTTCGCTACCATTCATTTGATGCATATGGATGATACACCTTGTGATCTCAGAAGAAAACTGTTATGATAAAATAGCGTATAAACGGAACAGCGAGTTTTCATCCAAAAATGTTTAAACGTTATGTTCTATATATGCAAACAAGTGGTTTAAAAAAACAGTAACGACATATTACTAGCACAAAACCACCCGTTTGAAAGTTTCCGAAAACCCTTTTTTATATAACTCAGTCCCAATTTGCATTATTACCTATGACTTCAAGAAAGTAGAGTTCCGAATCCGGTGCTGTAAAATGTCGATTGCTGCGGTAAAAAAGATGATCACCAGTTTTCTTGGAACAATCATAAACTCATATGTTTCTTAAGCTCAAACTGGTATCATTCTCCTCTATTCAGGACAACTGTTTTGACAGTGTTTGACATAGGTTACAAAAGCTAAGGATAAGAGTTCCCCTCTTTTAACTGGCCTTAATTTATCTGCACAAATCCCATTAGCTTTCAGTTAACTTATTTGACTGGTTACTTGACAGTTTACAGAGAGGTAGTGAATATAAGATGAAAACTATTGGATCAACTTGGTTACAGTTATACTGTATAATACCATACCTCTAATACTAAAACATACAGTTAGGCTGACCTGAAATAACCAATGTCACTTTGCTGCTTTCGTTCAAGGGAGTTGTAAAACCTTTAAAAGTATTATATAAGTAGCCAAAGCAATATAATACCATCAGTTAAGTTAGTTACAGTTGGACAACTTGGAAAATAAACTCTGTTTTCAAAAGCTAACGTCATCTAAACTGTCAGCTGTTATGTATTACATGTTGTTTGAAAGTTTGCTTTTCTTAAAAATGTGTACAACAATCCTTGGAAGTGATCATTTTTGAGTACAACACGGCCACTCAGTATCACCCAGAAAGATTACGTACACACATCTGACTATTGACATTCAGTTGCTTAATAACCACTTTATTCGTCACACTGAAAATGATTTTAATATGTCTTTGGGCTAACTGAAAATACATTTCCGAAGTTTTGTAATGATATATCTATCAAACAGTGAAATCCTAGCTATATAATAATACATTTTTAAACAAATATTTGTGTTGATACTACCCAAAGTTCTCTTGAAACTGATTTTTAGATTGTGACACACTATTGAAATGGCAAGTGCAATTCAGCCAAATATGCTTTATTCCCACTTAAATGTACGATGCCGCATACATCACAAAGGCTTTCACAACAGAACTCACTACAAGGACACAGAAGACGACATCACCGAAGGCAACAGTCATCCGATTCTATAACTTCTACTAGCCGAGACTTCAGTACAGGTCGTGCTATAAATCGTGAATCTGATTATCCTCAAAAACAACTTACAAGAAAACCAAGGCCAGTGAGTTCACACATGCCTAGAGGAAAACAGAATTCACACTCTAGAGAACAATCGATTTCATATCAGTACCCCAATAATCACCTGCATGAAACGAAAGAAAATAAGAGAGGCAGATTAACAAATAAAGAACAAATGAATTATCGTAAAAGACTTTTAGAAATGCAACGTACAAATGATTCATCAGGTTCTAACTCCAATCCAAACAAAAATGACACTAATCATACTAACCATTTTCATCCTCTTTCTATGAGTGTAGAAGATGCTTATTCACGTAGATATTCACAAATGCAAAACATTCCACGTCATGCAAATCAAAAAAGAGGTATGTATGACGACCGAAAAAGTCCTCCGACAAATCCTATGGAATATCAAATCAAGAAGTCTAATTTAGATGAAATCGTTGGCCTTGGTAAGTTTTATTTATTCAAAAAAGAAGTGAGATGATGACTCATATTTTATCAATTCAGCCTTATTCATTCGATCAACCAGTGACTCAACCAAATATTTTTACACACATTCATGACTTTACCGACATTTCGGATTCTGTCTGCACTCTAGTCTCTGAAGCCTATATTCTGAATGATTTAGGAAGCTCTCCTTCCGCTGCATTACAATAATATCTAGCAATGTTCTATTTGATTTATTCCATTATTATAAGCCTTCACAAAATCATTAAGAGTAAGAATGTATTGCTTGAAAGTGTAGGCTGATATTTACTGTAAATGATGCTTAACGTTGACGATTTTAGGATGTGCTTTTCTTTATTGATTATATTGTTTGCATTCCTTGGAGTTAGTCACACATTAACCTGAGTCTAGGAAAGAACGAATTTAGATAAAACTATATTCGTATTTGGTGAGCACTAACATTTTGTTTATCACTTCAATGCATGTAATGGAATTGATCCATGAAAAAAGTTGTCTGAACTAAAATGACACTTGAGACTTACAGACAATAATGATGAGGGCTGCCTACACTGAAGATCATAAGTGCTGAAGAACTTTTCCTCCAGACTGTATGTTTTTACATACTGGACAAAAAGGAATAACGTTTTTTAAATTCGGAATTACGTTGTTCCCTGTATTATCTCGTTTTTGAGTGGACCGAATTGATAGGTTTCGATTTGCATATGAACTCCTGTGCAGATGCATTAATACTGTCTGTGTTTCGATTAAAGTTCGATCAATTTAGTTCACTTAACCATGGGATTGTACAAGCAACAACATTAGAACTATACTCATCGCACAAGGAAAGGCTACCGTGACTAAGTGGTCTAGTGGATAACTCCCTAGCGCTTGAAGCGATCAGTCGTGAGTTCAAGCCCTAGTGAGAGCTGGGTACATCCAGCTAGCGAGCCCCAAATAGGACGAAGTGTGCGTCCTGGATTTGACTGCTAACCACTATCGGTCATGAATAGTCAGCTTAACATTGTAGAAGATATGGTTTTCACTAAATAAATCTTCAACTTCCGATTGTAGTGTGTACCTTCACCAAACGTCTAAAAAACTACTCTACGCTACTTTGTCTCGTAAGTAATCGCTAGCATATAAATTTGTGTGGCTGAAACATTTCTGGTACTCGCAACTCTTCAATCTAAATTTTTCAAGTTTCCTAACATCCTTTAAATTCAAGCACCATCCATGTACTTTTATAAAAGATATTTCCAGCTACCTCAGCTACACTTAATGTTATTTGTTTTCTATTTCGCAGTCAGTTTTCAAGTGATTCACCTATTTTCATGCACTTTACGTGTTGTATTATGTAAGGTAAGGCAATGTAGTTAATGAGGAGTTAAAAACAATTTTCCATACAATATTAATTATTACTTTTTTTTCTTTGTACCTCAACGACTGATCGAAATATCAAAACTGTCTGTTCTGGTGATTTGATTTTTAGCTGCCAATGACTGTCATTTACTTAATTACTATCCGTATGGAGTAAATATGCCAAATGATCCTTTGAATGAGTGGAATTCAAACAAATCTCAAGCTTTTCCTTCATATAACCAAAGTGGTACAAATATTGGTAGTAGTGGTGGTGCTGGGGGGAACCTTGGCAGACAGCAAGTTCAGTTTGGACTGAATACTTTGGAAAGTTTTCAACAAGGTTGTTTAACTTCTTTGGCCAGTATGCTACTTTGTCCGCATACAATACTTCCTATTATGGTTGGATTATTTAGTAATTTTGGGTCACCTTATGATTATGTACAAAAATTAGGTGGTAAGTTGAACCAACGCTTACTTATATTTTCATTATGGTCTCAATTAAGCACTAAGGTATATGCAGTTTTCCATCTGTCTAAAGCTCATGCATCCTGCCCAACCGGCTCACGATAATTATGTTTCAGTAGTGATCAAGAATAAAGCCACGTGGATGGAAAAAGTAGATTTTACGGTCACTGAGATTATATAGGAATTATGAGTCTAAAGCTGAGGAAGAAACTAAGTGAAAGTTAGACAACAACTATCGCCATAATATATTAGATCAGTGGATCTAAAGGTTGACCAGACCAAATTTTCATAACACCTGTTAAATTACTATTTGTTGATGCGCTTGTAGTTCTCCACTGTTTTCCTGGATTGAATTGTTTGACCTCTACAAGTGTATAACAGGGCATGTCAACACATAGTAATAACTAATACCCGTTGTGCAAGAGTTGGCTGTTTTACCTCACTGGCCTAAGGGATAACGCTATGGCGTTTGAAGAGATGGGTACGACATTGGAGTTTCAGTGGTAACAACAGCACTCACTGGTGTACAGATACATTCATCTAAAGGGTCCCAAATAGGTTAAAACGTACATCCTAGCGACAACCAAGTAAGTTAACATACCTGTTAAGTGTTGCTCTTGGATATCGCTTGCAACTGAAATATAAAAAAGAAAACAAGCACAATAAAACTTATATAGCTTAACCAAAATATCACATAAAAGCAACCAATTTTCATTATAATATCATAATCCCAATGATTGTTGAATGCAGATCTGAGATAGCGTAGTTAAGCAGACTTGTATTCATACTAAAAATTTTAGGCCATGGCAAGATTCGAACTGTCGACCACCGAGTTTGCGGTACGGCGCTTTACCAGATGAACTATGAGATCCGGCTACTGACCAGACTTTATTTAACTTCAGTCATCAGTATGAATATGATTTGATGGGAATAATGAATCGATACGTATAACTTTCATTGCCATCAAGTCAATAAAGCAAGTCGACAATAAGATGATTAGTGCTATCACACTCACTTATATTTGAAAAAAAATAGTCGGTTGTACTTTCAGAATTATGAACTTTAATGAAAGCATATTTTGATGATACTTTGATGACGATGAATTTGTCCTTTTCTTCTGTTTACTTCACCCTTTTCATTCTTCTAGAAGAATTAGTTTACTTAAAGCAATCAAACCCATATTATTATGATCAAGCTCAAATTGGATTCAGTTTTTGGCCTGGAATTTTACCAGTTATAATTGCTAGTATACTGGGTTATATTTTGGGCTTATCACTAGGATGGCAACTAGGTTTTGCTGTTGCTGCAACAGCCACCTTACTGTATGCATTATTTTTTGGTAAGATTATCATCAGTAATAATGAATTTATATTTGTTTATATTTTAATCATCTCGAAAGATGTGACTGATTCTTATTCATATCAACTAGATGAGACGAAACAGAACTTCGTATAGATTTAATCTGTAGTTTTCTCTGCCACGAAGTTAAGTGTTTGGCAATAAGTTGGTTAAGTTGCCTAGTCCATTGAACCTTTCATAATCGACTTTAAATTCGTCGTTTACTTATGGCGGGAGTTATTAGAATTCGAATGAACAATTCAAAACTCTGTATTCAGAAGAAATTTGTACAGTCTTATTTATGTATTGGTAGCATATTTTACTAAGAGAGGGTAAAGTGGGAACAAATTTGTTGAGTGGCTCCATACATTCATCAGTTATCATCATACAAAATATACTCGGAACAAAACTCTCATAGACAAAGCCTAGGTCCATTTATCAATTATTTAGTTGACGTAATAATTCGTTAGAAGAGGGGTAAATAGCTTCAATATTCCTAGGAGTGTCTACTATCATGTAGCTGCTTGATAACACATGTGACTCATGAAGTTCCATGATTCTGTGTGAAACGAATGATACAGTCAAAAAGTAGTTACAATTGTCTACATTCAGTAATATATAATGTATGGATATATTTATACGTGAATTTTGGACACTTAAAAAATGATAGTCTTGAGTGCAGACCAAATCCTATCGATCATATTTTGCAATGTGGCAACCAAGCTAGGAAGCTCAGCATCACGGTGCACATTAATAGATTAGGCGACACAAAATTGGTTGCACTGTCGTGACCAATCAATACATGTAAGCCAGTCCTACAGGAGGTCAGTCGCGGTCCGAATGGCTCAGTGGTAAAGTCGCTGACTACAACACTGAAAGACGCGGGTTCGAATTTCATGCGGGACGTTAGTTCAATCGAGGTTGCAGATACGCTTTGCTTACGAGTGCCAAAAAGCACGAAGCCTAGATCAAGGGCTTCCTTCTGATTGCCTCCAACTAACTAACATCTACTAGTGTGCACTGCGATGCTGAGCTTCCTAGCTTGGTTGCCACATTGCAAATATGATCGATAGGATTTGGTCTGCACTCAAGACTAGACAATATAAAATTGGTTGCACTCCCGGGGCCAATCAATATATGTAATGGCATGTTGTAATCTGCAGACAATAACCATGCTGTATGGATTTATAATAGGTAGATATACTTCTTCCATCCCAGACAAGCCTAAAAATTTGGCCTGGGAAATTAGAATGCTTTTGAAATATCCCGGGAGAATTGAAGCTGAGTTAGTTCAACAATATATGATATCCTAGAAAAGAGGATGTAATGATGATTGCAAAACTTAATCCCATTTTGTCATTTTTCAGTGTCTTATGTAAATTTGTCGTTTATAAACAGTCCTATTAACTATTCGTCATAATCGTTTTATTTCGCAGCATTTCCTATCCTTAATTCACTATCAAATAAGGTTAACTTATGACAAGCAAAACGGTTCATACGGGTACGCGTTCCAATCAGATAAATGAATCAATGAAAATAAATTAGAATCTGCTCAAACGTTGCTCCTAACAGCTCAGTTTCCTACTGTTAATTTGATAACATGGTTGTCGGGATTCTAAAATAATGAATAAAACCAGGCTTTCATTTATTTTCCATTCACTGGGCCATATAATAACTGTCTATTATCAAGTTAATAACCCAATAACAGCATGAAACCTATTTAAGGTTCTTCATGTTCAGCATTATTATCTCTTGATGATGTTGTGTTCCCTGAGCTAGATAATTTAATCTTGAACCTTACATTACCATTCTAGTCAACAGCATCAACACAAACTTCAGATAGAAGTGAGCTACGGCACCTTCTTCACAAGTGGCTTGACAGCTTGTCCTGATGGCCTTGTGTGTTATTGGTTGTTTCTACCAGAGTCTTGTCATCGTCTCTATATTTACTTTGAATGGTTGTCCTACTGACGTGAATTTTGATCTTTTTGATACTTCTTATTGACTGATAGATTGGGTCACTGTCAGTATGACTGTTGATCACTGACTGACCTGAATGTCAAGCTTCTGAGAATTCTCTTTCAGTCTTTGTATTTCCTCTATAAACGATTTTCACATTTTTCCAGTTAGATTCATGTCTACAGTTGTCCGTATGCATTGATATGAAGGAAGATACATCATGACAGTTCATTGCTAGTTGATATTCATACAGATAACGAATTGATGGCGTCTTCCAAATGAACCAATACTGGCCAATGATACACACCTCTCAGAAGACACATAGTTGCAATGTTCAGGTTCTACGGAATTAATTTATTCACGCCTAACAACATATTAATAGTTCAACGGCAAACTTTGCAAACGGATAAAAGGAACATCAATGAGATCGACTATTTTTGGACTAATTGCAGAACCGGAAATAAAAGATTGGAAACTGGTATTGTCGTTGATCAAACCAAAACACTGGGTCCGATATGTAGATGACATGATTTTCATCAATAAAAGAAACGCATTCGGAAACGCTCACAAATTATGCAACAAATATTTTGACAACATCAAATTCGCAGTTGAAGAGAAAGCAAATAGCAAACTCTTATTTATAGATAGTCTGATCACTAGAACGGATTCGAGTAAGTATGAAAGTGAAGAAGGCCAACTGATATGGATCAAATCCTCAACTAGTGTCATTAGCTCAACACCACACGAAGCCAGTTGCATAAAAACTGCTCATAAGAGCGAAGACATCATAGTATATCAACTATGCAGAGAAAAAAGTAGAAATTATTTAATGACTGTTTTCCTGAAGACGGTCACGTAATTTGTTATCAATCATGAAGTCATTCTTGGAAACCGACAAACATATTATCTTACTTTACATGAAGCACATCTCAGAGATTATGACTGGATTTTTGAAGCTTCTTAGAATTGATGCAGCTTACCATTCCATGAAATTTCTTCACTCTCTGTTGTAAAAGCCAAAAGATGCAATGCCAAAGGCAGAAAATGAACTGCAGAAACTGGGAAAGACGCTACGTTGGATAGAGCTGCCACCTTTTTCGCATCCGTCCACATGAATATCAACTACCAGTAAAGCATCATGACATATCTTCGTTCATATCAATGCATACAGACAACTGTAGACATGAATCTAACTGGAAAAATGTGAAAATCGTTTATAGAGGAAATACAAAGACTGAAAGAGAATTCTCAGAAGCTTGACATTCAGGTCAGTCAGTGATCAACAGTCATACTGACAGTGACCCAATCTATCAGTCAATAAGAAGTATCAAAAAGATCAAAATTCACGTCAGTAGGACAACTATTCAAAATAAATATAGAGACGATGACAAGACTCTGGTAGAAACAACCAATAACACACAAGGCCATCAGGACAAGCTGTCAAGCCACTTGTGAAGAAGGTGTCGTAGCTCACTTCTATCTGAAGTTTGTGTTGATGCTGTTGTCTAGAATGGTAATGTAAGGTTCAAGATTAAATTATCTAGCTCAGGGAACACAACATCATCAAGAGATAATAATGCTGAAAATGAAGAAGAATCAATACATCTCAATTACCTTTAACTCTGAAAGCAATTTTATAAAGGTTGTGAACCCTAATTGCCAGATTGTTTCGCCTACCAAAATAGATGTTCATTTATTTTAATTTCCTGCTTTTGCTAGTCTCAGTCAACTTTCTAAGACTACAGAGACCTTATATATCAGCTTACTAAATTCAGCATTTATTTTTACAGCGTATGAAAATTTCTGATTCAAAACACTTTATTCACATTTTGATCACACTGATTCTTTCTTTTACAACATAAATTTTAGAGCATAGAGTAAGGTTATTAACACTCATGGAATGATTCACTCCAACAGTCACACTTTATTGACAGAAGTTCAAAAGGATCATTTAAGACTACAAATATACCTTTTCAAAAGACTAACTGAAGAGTTTATATAATCAGTTAGTTGAAATGAAATTAACAAGGTACAATAACATGGCTTCTTCCTTGAGACGTATTTGCTATCTTTAAGAAAAATATAAGTTAGAATGAAGTTGTAACTAAAAGACAACAGTTCTCTTCATATTCTTAAAAATAACAAAACCATTCACTCCTTTATTCTTTATTTTCTAAAAGTAAACATATTTACTCTTAAATTTTTCCGTAAAATATTTGTTCATATGATGAAAATATCCTGTCTGCTTCATCAGAAACCATCTAATATACTTTTCGATGATTTATCCAAAAGTATTTCATATAGTTCAAAGTCTATAGGAACTTCATTCATATTTTTCAGTATTTATCTTCCACAATTTAGAAAATCCCTGTAATCTAATAATCTGATAATTGATTTATTCACTGAATTTGGTCAAATCTTAGTTGAAATAAAATAGACCTTTCCAATATGAAAAGATAAGAAGCATATGATGTCATCTATCAAACAAAGTAATCTATTACTTCAACTGTATAAAAACATTCCAATAAGCAGAAAAAGAATCATATACAACTGAACAAGATTTCAGGGTAGAATGTATCCATAAAATTTGAAAATGTCAAATGAAAAAAGAAAAGTCCAATGGAAGGCAAAAAATAAGTCAATATTTGCAAATAGGCATAAGGATAAAAATTTGAGAATTACAGTTAGTAAATTGATTAGTGTTTCTAGGTTAGTCTGTAGCTATAAGCAATTTATTATGACCGTGAATTTAGATTACTAACCAAGAAATATCGTTTGTTCACATAAGCTTGTTCATTTTGTCAAGATACATATTATAACTCAGTGAGATACAAAAGCCGATAACAATTCTTATTAGAACTTGTTAATGCATTCACAAAGGTGAAATAGCTAGAAGTATAAACTAATAAAAGTAAAGCAATTTTCATCAATAGCAGCTAGCCGTGAAGTTGAGGATGCACGTTTCGTCCTAATTGAGCCTCGTCAGCTGTGTCTTTGCCTTTCAGTGGATTGAATTCTTCCCACCAGGACTCGAACACAGGA